CCTGGATCAACTCGAGTTGAAGGCCTGTCTACTGTGTTCGCGCCTTACCCATTAGATTCATCCCTATCAACTGATCCGGCAGGTGCAGCGAACGGCCCAAGTGTACCGTTGGGCGCATCCAGAGCGCCCAGAAGCGGCCATATTGCGGAACAAAATCGACCCTGGGATGCATTCTCAAGCCCAGACCGGAGAGGATCAGCGGAACCAGGTTCACAGCAGCCGCTTCGTGCAATGATGCCAGCCGATCGCAATGGAGGGGCCTACGATACAAGGGGCCATTCCCGTAACCGTTCCCAAGCGGCTAAGGGGAGTACGGACACCACTGCATCGTCAAAAGGTCGAGAAAGAGGCAACAAACCGCCCTCTCAAAAAGCTATGCTTTCCCGAGCCCTACAAAAAGCAAACACTGCAGTTCAGTTAGACAATGCGCAGAATTTCGAAGGTGCACGCCAAGCTTATGCCGAAGCATGCGAACTACTGCACCAAGTATTGGCGAGAACCTCCACGGAGGAAGACAAGAGAAAGCTCGAGGCGATTGTGAGTATCTTGACTTGGAATGGCGTGACAGTCCGGAGCTAAACTAGGTCAGCGCCGCACGTATACAAGTCGAATCGAGGAGCTGGATCAGATGGCTCCTATCCAGGTACTGGATGGGAAGGCTCTTCCTGCTAGACCCGAGAGCTTAGGTCTGCGACTCAACCCGACCCTCCAGTTTAACGACGACGACGATGTGGACTACCTGGAGGAACCAGGCGGTCTCGAAACAGCGGCTCTTGCCAGGATACTCAAAGATGGAGGTCGAAATTCACCTAGCTATGCGGGGCCTGGGCTGCCTATATCACGAATGCAGGGCTTGGCTGAACCAGCAAGGAGCGGCTTATCGAGGACACCAGAGCAATATACGCTGCAGTCTTCCTTCTCTCGCTCGCCGCTTCGAGAACGAAACTCGGACGAACATCTTATCTTCCAAATACCCACGGAAGATGCTACCATGCCACCGCCACTCTCACCTCGCCGACCAGCTTCTCCGGAGCTAGATGGGCGGGGTTCTCCTGACGGACCCGTCAGGTCGGATTTCTCCCTTTCCGCAACGCGAATTGGACAAGCCCCGAAACATGTGCGAGATTCGAGCCGCGAATCCAATTCCTGGTTGGATCCGATTGACGAGTCCGGCGGATCAACTTCGTCTGTCCACTCCCGATCATCCTCTATGAATGTGCGGCGAAAGCACATACGCGCTCCTAGTGGCGCTACCGAGGCTGAATTCGATGCAGCATTAGATGCGGCGGTCGAAGCAGCGTACGACGACGGTTATGAGCCGATGGATCTATCTGACAACGAAGCATATGCGTCAGATGATCAGGTCGTAGCGAAGGCACTGCGTAAGGTTGAGTTGGCCAAAGAACGCGTTCGTCAGACGGAAAGAGAAGTCTACGAGCAAGAAAGCGAAAGAGAGCGAAGAGTGCAAGGGCAGCAAAAGCCTGACGGGGATTTGATACATGAAGATTTCTACGACGACGGATCATCGGACGAGGAGGAACGCATTTTGGAGGAAATGACTCGAGGATTTTCTATTGACGACTTTTCCTTCAACCAAGCATCTCGATCATCCGCAGCCAGGCACTCCGGCTCCAGTGATGCCCAGCAAACGTGGCAGGTGCCTGGGACACACGGCACAAACGGTGATGATGTCTCCTCGTCACCGACGGATGCCTTTCCCTCTTCGAACTTCCCAAGGGCCGGAAGCCCAGCTGCACCGCCTCCGGTGCAGTCTCTACCCGAGTTACCCTCCAAAACATCTTTCTCAGGACCAGTGCCTGGGCCCGGCCAGACCGTGAGGAGTAGGCGAATGTCAGGGCAAAACCCGAAGCAGCTCAAGATTGAGACTAGCAAACTTGCGAAATACGGAGACCCCGGGAGACGTTACAGCGTTGCCCAATCAATCGACAATGATCAAGAAGTTGACTTCGATCCTCGAGACTCCATTATTTCCAACGACTTTAATGGAGGCATGCGCAGACCATACTCCCCTCCTGAGGGGATCAGCCCAACACAACCGGTACCCCCAACTCCTCCACCCGGGCATCGGAGTCGAGACAGTGCAGACTTCAATAGTCATTCGGGCTCACCATCCTTCCGGCCTACACTAAGAAAGAACTTCTCTTCCTCAAGCTTGAGGAGCATGAAGAATCGAAACATGTCACTGTCGAATTTGGAGGACGCTTCGGACATGTCACCGGGTACGCCAATGAGCAATGCCTTTGGCATCAGTGGGAGGCATCCGGCTATGCCTGCCCTGCCGACCCCCTTGGCAGCAGCCTTCAGAGACAAGTTTACCTCAGGCTCTGCTGGTGGCTTGTACCTATTCGACGATACTTTGCACTCCCCGCAAAGTCCAGGCTCGCCAAATTCGCTTCAGGTAGATGCACCAGCACCATTGGAACCGTGCCCTACAGATTACATGTTGCGGCCCTTCTGGCTAATGCGCTGCTTGTATCAAACGCTCGCCCATCCCCGAGGAGGTTATTTAAGCAACAAGCTATTTGTTCCGCGGGATGTGTGGAAGGTGAAGGGTGTAAAAATCCGCAACGTGGAGGATAAAGTAGCGACATGCGACTATCTCACGGCCGCTCTTCTCAAGCTAGCCAGAGTAGACACTTGCGATGCTGATGCCGTGCTTGAGGAGATGCAGGCTCTAGAGGTCATTCTGGAACAGGTTCAGGCCAGCTTGACCAGAAAGCTGGGGACAGAAGTCGGGGTGCAAAGCTCCAACGTGATCTTCAGGGATGCATCGAACTCTGTCGAAATTGAAGCGGCAATCAACGTACCGCGTTCAGCGAGCGTGTCGGGCAAATCGTCCTCATTCTCGTGGCGCAGATTAAGGTCCAAGGGGTCTGCGGCTGGATTGAATAGCTCCTACAACGCAAAGGGTACCGGACCCGATAGCGGCAAGGAGTCACCTGTACTGGAAACCCTGCCAATGACAGAGAATCCAACTAGCCGTCCGACGAAAAGAGATCCAACCAGTGCCCAGTTTACTGGGCCAAATTCCAACTACATGGGATCACTCGCACGGCTCTTCGATGCCGCCCAGACGATTGGTAAGGCCTCTCAAATGCGTGCCTGCTCAATCGCAGATATGTGTTGTTACGGGTCAACTAACAGACTTAGACCAAATCGCTCGTCAAGTCGAGGATCCGGGACTCCGACACGCGGACAAGACACAAGTTGGCCTGGAGCTTTGTACCCGACACGCCGCGGAATTTTTCGGGTTTTTCATATGCCGGTTCGTACTGTCGGACCTCAGCATGTTGCTGGATAAGTTTATCAAAAGAGGGAGCGAATGGGTCCTCGCATGAGGCGTTGAAATGTGAGTCGCAATCTGAATTATCAAGGGAAAGTAAGGGCGGCATGATTTGAGCGTTTGCTGGAGCGTTTGTAAGAGATACCTTATGGTGACCAATGTCACACTGCAATTTGTAAGGCGACGTCAATAACAAGAGGAGGTAAGCGTGGGCACTGGGAGCGGTATTTCCTCTCTCAACCGAGCGATACTTGAAATGATGGTGATGAACACCTAGGCTTAACGAATGTCTAAAGATGCCGTGGCGTGCGCAGAGATACCGTCCAAGGCAACTACGAATAGTTTCATGCTTGACCAACACTGCATGTACTCTAACGGTAAAGATATGTAATCATGTATGAAGAAAATCTAGCAGCGTATGTACGTCGTCGGGCAGTGTACTCCATACAAACCCACCTCCATACTAGTATACAGAACTCGGGAGTCAGTTGGTTTCGGCGAGCCTCTGCCGAAAGACCAATCGGGGGCCAGTTCCACACCGAGACCCACTCAAGCTTCAAGCACACTGTACACTACTAAGGTACCTAGCTAGTCGGGGTTTTGATTTCTGCGCCAGGACGGGCATGGGAAACAGGCTCGGCATCGCATTCGGTTGCTTCACAGAACCTACACGACATAACTGGAATCGCACAATTTGAGCCTCCAGTCTGAATCTACTCAATGCCGACAAGAACAACTTGATGCGCGGATCCCGGGCGACAAGCGTGCGCGCTATGCGGGACCGTTTGGTCAGTTTTCCACGCCAGCTGCGACAGCCTTGGTCTTCAATCTCGACGTTCAGCTTGACCCCGCCGCTTCAGTCTCGCAGCTGCACTCTGGCCCAGACGACGCTGACGACAACGCAAGCTCCATGGTCGCGTAGTCTCGCTTCATCATGGAACCCGGTGCGCAGCCAGCCTTTTCATTGTGCCACCGCCCACCTCGCCAAGCCTGCGCCGCCATCTCGTGCCGCACAGGCTCTAGAAGAACGAATTCTCTCTATACCAATCGAGCGGTACCGCAACTTCTGCATTGTGGCCCACATCGACCACGGGAAGAGTACCCTTAGTGACCGTTTGCTCGAAATCACAGGTACCATCTCTGCCAGTGATGCTAATAAGCAGATATTGGTGAGGCCGACAGTGCAGCTGCGCTGCTCTTCCAGCTTAAAAGAGTATTGCTGACCGAATTTCTTTTCACTGGCTAGGATAAACTCGATGTGGAACGTGAGCGAGGGATCACCGTCAAGGCCCAGACTTGTACCATGATATACAACTATAAAGAAGAGGATTATCTGCTACATCTCGTTGATACACCTGGGCATGTGGACTTTCGCGCCGAGGTGACGCGATCCTACGCCAGTTGTGGTGGTGCTCTGCTGCTTGTTGATGCAAGCCAGGGCATCCAGGCACAAACAGTATCCAATTTCCATCTGGCTTTCGCGCAGGATCTCGCCTTAATTCCCGTTGTCAACAAAATCGATATGCCGTCCGCCGACGTTTCTAGAGTTCTCGATCAGATGCATACTTCATTCGAATTAGACCCTTCTTCGGCGGTTCTGGTGTCGGCGAAGACTGGCAAGAATGTGCCAAATATTTTACCTGCCGTTGTGGAACAAATACCGCATCCAGTGGGCGATATTTCAAAACCACTCCGCATGTTGCTTGTGGATTCTTGGTACGACAATTTTAGGGGCGTCATACTTTTGGTTCGTGTATTCGATGGCCAGGTTAAAGCTGGCGACAACCTCATCTCCTTTGCCACCGGGCAAAAGTACACTGTTGGCGAAGTCGGTATTCAGTATCCAAACGCCGTCCCGCAAAGTGTTCTCCGCGCCGGCCAAGTTGGCTACATACACTTCAACCCAGGTATGAAGCGTATCCAGGACGCCAAGTTGGGTGATACTTTCACCACAACCGGGTCAGAGGCTGTTGTCGAGCCATACCCTGGCTTTGAAGAGCCGAAACCAATGGTCTTCGTGGCTGCGTTTCCCACTGACCAGAGCGACTATACTCGTCTCGCTGACAGCATCAGTCAGTTAGTGCTCAATGACAGGAGTGTAACATTGCAGAAAGACTATTCTGAGGCTCTTGGCGCGGGCTGGCGCTTGGGGTTCCTTGGTAGCTTGCATTGCTCTGTCTTCCAGGATCGTTTGAAGCAGGAGCATGGCGCTAGCATCATCATTACAGACCCGACTGTACCAACCAAAGTCGGGTGGGCCGACGGGTCTGAGACGATATATCAGAATCCGGCTGAGTTCCCCAGTCAAGACGAGCACCGAATGCGCGGCGCAACAGCATACGAACCGTAAGCATTCTCATTGACTTTACTGCCTGCCCGCCTATATCCCTCTGACAAAGCTACCTAGGTTTGTGACTGCCACGATTACTCTTCCCGAGGAGTACCTCGGTCGTGTCATAGAATTGTGTGAAAGTCAGCGTGGCGAGCAAAAAAGCCTTGAGTTTTTTCACACAACGCAGGTTATCCTCAAGTATGACATCCCTGCAGCCCAGCTTGTCGACGACTTGTTTGGCAAGCTTAAGGGCGTCACGTACGTTGTCTCGAATACCCTAATGATGGAGGTTACAAGCTGACAACTGGAATAGGAAAGGCTATGCGAGCTTGGACTATGAAGAGGCTGGATGGAGGGCGAGTCAGCTCACCAAATTGCAGCTTCTGGTCAACAAACAGCCCGTGGATGCTATCTGCCGGGTGATTCATACCTCTCAGGCTGAGCGTCTTGGTCGGCAGTGGGTCACCAAGTTCAAAGAACACGTCGACCGCCAAATGTTTGGTAAGTCCAATCGGTCCACCATAGCGGTGGGTGAAATAGACTGACCTGTGACTTTCAAAGAGGTCGTCATTCAAGCTGTTGCCGGTAGGCGGATTGTCGCTCGCGAGACCATCAAGCCATTCCGGAAGGACGTGCTTGCGAAACTACACGCCAGCGATATCACTCGTCGGAAGAAACTGTTAGAGAAGCAGAAGGCGGGACGCAAGCGCCTTCGCGCAGTTGGCAATGTCATCATTGACCAGTCTGCTTTCCAGAGTTTTCTTGCCAGATGATTTAGTCTTGCGTCTCTACAGGCCTTGGCGTTCTCTCTGTGGCACCCGAGGACAATCGCCGCGGATCAATTGCGCTACTGATGTACGAATATGTAATTTATAAAAGAACACCCGAATTCACCAACAAACCATGCATCCATCTAATGGCCTGATCTTCGCATGGGGATTATCGGTTGCGATACGGCCTTTCGATAGCAGTTTTGCCTCGGACTCACGCCATCGTAGTTGCTGAGGCACAATCTGAAGCAACCCCGATTTTGACACAGCGAGTCTCAGCTGCTCTGAATGCCTGCAATAGAGTTCTCCAGGACCGGCAAGTCAGAGCCAATGACAACAGGGTCTGTCCAGGATTTACCTAGACCGCCACCGACAGTTGACTGAAGCTGTCGGAGCTCAGGGTTGCTATCAGCTTCATCGCCTTTATAAAGCTCGAATGCTCGGTAGTCGCCATTGAAGAACCAGTGCCCCGTCACCCCGAGTCGCAAGAAACCCGAGTGTGAAACCACAAAAACCAGCTTCTCCTTTCGCTCATAGATGCTGTTGATGGATGATCGAGCTCTTCCGAGAATAGCCTCCTTGGTGTAGGAATACTGGGCTCCAGCAGGAGAAGTCTTGTCTGGGTAGACGGGGTCGACAGAAGAGAAGTCAACGCCAGGGAATTCCACACTCAACTCGGCGATTGAGCTTCCTGTATCACACGGCTTTGCCGAGTTTTCTAGTGATGATTAGATATATTACCTGCAAGACCTTACTGAGCAGGCTTTAAATTCAAGTGCGATTACACCTACCTTGCCATCGAGCATCAGCTTGAATTGGCACCCCATTCTTGATCAACCAATCGAGCGAGAGGAGGGCTGTCTGGATAGTCCGCCTCATTGGACTGACAATGATGATGGCATCCGTCTCGTCGGCAAAATTTTGGGAAAGATTCTGACGTAGCTCCTTGCATTGTTCTACACCCAGTGATGAGAGCTCAGGGTCATGGATCGAGTAGTTCTGTGCCCATGTGTTAGTACAAAGTAAGAGGAGCTTATCAAGAGGACTACTCATCATCAACGTTGTGCAGTGCCTGGGCATGACGAATGAGCACGACTGTGGGCGCCATACTAGCCAAATTATGTCAAACAAAGAAGTGCATGGCACGCGCAACAACTTCCCCGTGTACAGTTGGTCTCGTCAGTTTGCAAGGTCAATTCTACGGTGATACTGGAATTGGAACCGGGTCAGAAGTGGTCCAGTATTCCGGTAGCGGACCGGTGCTGCTCCGGAAAATGATAACTTAGGCACCTAAGGTCCTCAGGCTTATAGAGTATTCAGTGCCCAGGTACGTACTTATCCGTACCCGTTACTCATGGGGGCCCCTGTCATGCCCCACTGGGCTGCAGGTCTGCGACCTAGGTAAGGTACGGTAGGCCGGCGCGCCTTGGAGCTCCAGCAATTACCTGCACCGTCACCTGGTTCGATCGTTACACGACTCTCCAATCTTTCACGAGGCTCCTTCGAAGTTGCGCTCACGTTGACGCGCGGCTGTTAGTTTCCTGTGCGGTTTCATTTCGAGCGCCTTTGAAGAGCCTATCGCTGCCTGGCAAAGATGACCGATGTTGATAACCTATTCAAAGTAAGACTGTCGCTCGGACTGCGCCTGGTTTTCACTTCTCAACTGACGGAAACAGAGCTCCGGCGGCGTTGGCAAAAGGAAGCTTGATGCTGTACGAGACCCAAGTAAGCAACCGCCCTACCAGATAGTGATCTTCCTGTGGTCAGGACTGACACACGACAGATGAAATATACAAGTCGGCCAAATTGAGCGCCAGCGAGTCTATAAGTCGGCATGCGCAAGTGGAAGAAGAAGCCGATGATGATGATATCGCCGGACCTGCTCCCCCACCCGACGACGACGCGGACGACTACGGGCCCGAAATGCCCCCGGACGAGGATGATGAAGGCCGATTCTTCGGCGGAGGGATCACAAAACAAGAATCCGAAATACTGGACTACGTGGACGGCCGCGGCGAGAACTCGGCCACTTCTGAGAAGATCGACGCTGCTTGGGTCAGAAAAGCTGCCCTGAATTTCGAAAAGCGAATCACGAAGAACGCCGAGTTGCGCGCCAAGTTTGCCAACGAACCCCAAAAGTTCATCGAGAGCGAGGCAGATCTCGATGCCGCCATCAAGGATCTCTCCATCTTAGCAGAGCATCCCGACCTGTACCCTCAATTCGTCAAGTTGGGCTGTGTTGATAGTCTTGCCGGGCTACTGACACATGAAAACACCGACATCGCCATTGACGCTGTCGAAATTATCGGTGAGCTCACTGACGAAGACGTTTATGCGTCTGACGACGACTGGGATATGCTGGTGGATGCGCTGTTGAAGGCAGACCTGGTTAGCCTTCTCGTGTCAAACTTCTCTCGCCTGAATGAAGATGATGAGTCCGACCGCAGCGGGGTGTACCATGCACTTGGCGTCCTAGAGAACCTCCTGTCTAAGAAGACGAACGCGGAAACAGTTGGTAGGGACGAGACGTTGATCAAGTGGCTGTTGGAGAGGGCCCAGCGTAAGGAGTCCCCCGTATCCCAGAACAAACAGTACGCTACAGAGCTGTTGGATATCATCGCGCACACATCGACAATAACGCGCCGTCGGCTGGCAGAGCTGGACGCCGTCGATGTATTGCTGCAACTGGTATCGGCTTATCGCAAACGCGACCCAGAGAAAGGCGGCGAGGAGGAAGAGTACATGGAGAATCTCTTCAACGCATTAGTCTGCATTGTTGATGAGCCGGAAGGCAAATTCAAATTCCTCGAAGCAGAAGGCATCGAACTGTGCTTGATCATGCTCAAGGAAGGTAAGATGAGCAAGCAACCGTCGATGCGACTTCTTGTGCATAGTGTCAGCGGAGATATGAGCGGCGAGGTTTGCCGGAAGATTGTTGAAGCCGGTGGCCTGAAGATTCTCTTCACCTTGTTCAAGAAGACTACACAGCAGCGCATGATTATGGAGAGCTTATTTGACATCTTCAGATCTCTCTTGCGGTTTCTTCCCGCCAACTCGGCCGAGAGGATCCGGACGCTGGCGAAGTTTGTCGAGAGGGAGTACGAGAAGTTGGACCGACTCTACGACTGCAGGAGGACATACAAGTCGATGCTCGACGTAGCCGACCAGGAAATTCAAAAAGAACGAAGCAGAATGAGCGCGGACGATGCAGAACTCTCCGAAGGAGAATGGTTCCTGAAAAGGATCGACGAAGGCCTTTACAGTGTGTGGGCTATCGATGTCATCCTCGCATGGCTCGCCGCGGAGGATGCCGGTGCCAAGAGGCGGATACAAAAGCTGCTGGGTAAGGATGGTCAAGACCTGGCGGCTGTGAGAGCTACATTGCAGGAGTATCGGGAAGACTTGGATCTGGAAAAGCCCCAACACAAGGACTTGGCGGAGATGCTCACGACATTGATGGACTTTTTACAGTGAAGCAAATGAACTAGGTGTAATTATACAGCTATGGAGTGATGCGGTGTGTTTCTCTGGAAGTCTGGAAACATCTCTCTCCGACCAGTTGCATGACATCGGTTGATTTTTCTTAACAGTGCCATTCTCTACCTGTTTCTACAACCCCTTCACGACAGTCGTCGATTTCGAGCCCGATGCGTTTTCCATTGCACTCCCGTCATGTTGATGTGTCTATAAGCCGCGTGGCGTATTGGTATTGCCTCATGCGGCGCTTGGAGGGACTGGTTTGACCTCAAAAACGGCTTTCAAGAGATCGGCAACGACCTTATCCTGGCTCTTCTTTCCAGCATCCTTGATCTCCTTGATCTTGCCCTCGGCCTCCTTGTTCGCCTCGTCCTCGGCCTGCTTGTTGCCCTGGGTATGCTTCAAATCGTTAGTATACTCACATGCCCTTTGACGAGGCTTGCAAAGTCGTACCTCAGACTCGAACTTCTTGAACTCGTCCTCCTTGGAGTTGCGATAAGCTTCAATCTCCTTCTTGGCTTCGTCGCGGGCTTCCTTCACTCGCTTGGTTCGGACTATAGCATCTCAGGGTGAGCAAGCGGGCATTCAGCGCATCAGTTGGTTATGTACATACACTCGCGGGCTGGAAGTGACATGTTAGCAGAGGCATTGGGGGTGTGGGAGGGAGGGGTTTGAATCTGACGTACCTTTCTGGACAATCTTGGAAGCCTCCCGCTCGGCCTATGTTCTTGTGATCAGTGGCGTATTCGTGTAGAAGGCCATAGAGAGATGCGCCTACGTCGAGGAGGGTCTGGATACCCGCCGAATTCTGGGCCGACTGTGAGTACATTAGCACGCTGTCCTCCAAAGGAATGACGTCCGCGGCGGCTGTCGCGCTCACCATCGTGTTTGGCTGTTATCAGCTGCAACGTTCAGCTGCAACCAGGATATGTCGAAGGGTAAGTGAATCTGAGGTACGTGTAGGTGATTGGGCGGAGTAGAGATGTCGGATGAAACAGATCGTGATAGTTGTGTTGCTGAGGACGACGTTGTCGACGCTGAGTGCAGGTCCGGTAGGTCAGAGGAGCAGGAAGGTACGTAGCTAAGGTTGTACTGCACCGCCACAGCCTGAAGCGCGCCATGTAAAGGTACTCACACGGCGTTGCAGGCATCTGGATGTTGCCCCACATGAGTTCCTAGGTAGGTAGGTAGGTACCTGCCTCCATAGCTCTGCCGCGGCCTGTGCTTGTCCACGGTGAGGTGCCTGGCTTCGATCGAAAAGTCTTATCTTATCAGAGGCCGCAACCAACCGACATCACTTTCGCCAGGTTTGCGGACGACGGTCAAATCCCGACATAAGGCCACTTTCTCCTGGGGTTTGCAACTCGCAGTGCTTTCACTCGCGCAGGAATTTAATTCTAGATCTGGATATCACGGGAATTCGCAATCGCTACTCTGCGGATCATGTCTCGGGCCTCTAAGCTCACTCTTGCGGCGACTTCGTTGTTTGCCGCCAGTACCATCATCGTCGTACATTTCCAGCAAAAGTTCGAGAAGGAGGTAGGCTGCCCGTCCCGATGATTCCCAAAACACCCCTAGTGAATCGAAGGTTATGAAGACTAAACGTTCCATGCTGTAGGCTATGCACCAAGGCGTTGTGCGCGACATAGAATTACAGCGCGTCAAGAAAGAGCGACAGCTTGATTTCGACATCCAGCGTGCTCTCGAGGAAGAATACAAGCGAGAGCAAACAGTTCGAGACGCCACAATACCACCTATCGTCGGTGCCGGTGGTGGTGGCAATGGCTCCTGATGATGGAACTTGCAGTTAAAAGGATTTGTCAAGAATAAAGTCGCCATGCAGCCGTGCAACGAAACATTCCGTCCACACCTAATTGCTGAAGCTACATATGGCAAAGGACCGATGGAAAAGCCAAGCTATTTGGTGGCGGGAATACGGGAGCGCATAGAGAGATACCCGGAGGTTTGGCGCATTCTTGCGTACCTAGAGGTCCTGCCATCGGCTTTTGTAGGTTCAGGTGTTCCTCGAACGACCGTCGACACCACCTAGTTGCAAAGTGAGTTTGTTTGGTATCACATTATGTACTATATCTCTTCACCTTCCCATTTGCACCAAAAATGCTCAGGGTCCAGGCAGCAATGATATTTTCAACTGCCTATATCTTGTTTTTTTAATGTCCCGTTTGTAGTACAAATCGTTAGTACAAAACCATATGAGGGCTGAATTGCCAGTCTGTCGTCCGCCAAGAATTCGGAACGGGGCCCTCCAATGACACCAACCCATCAAGACGCCGAACGCAACCAACCACTGCGCTTCCCAACCTGAGAAGTCTTCTCACGTTCATCAACATGCCACACCACCATAGAAAGCCCTTTGTTTTACCGAATGGACACGCCCGATCTGTTGGTGAACATGCGCGCTGCAATGTTCATGGATTGCAGTTCCTGGAAGAGCAGCTTGGCCGCGTAGGGAATATGGATTTGTGCAATCTTGGTCTTATTCTTGCAGGGTCGGCACTCGAATGACTGCTTCGAGAGGTTTCTATTTCAAGTAAGCATGACATCTTAAGCTTTCGTGAGGGAGCAACTTACGCAATGGGTGTCATCAATCCGCAAATCTCGCATACGTGGACTCGGAAAGCATCGGAAACTTCGAATAATCTTTCCTTAAGGAAAGACGCAGCACCGTGTGCAATCATGCAATCACGCTCCATCTCGCCGAACCGCAGACCACCATCACGAGCACGACCTTCGACTGGCTGTCTAGTCATAATCTGGACTGGACCACGCGCACGAGCGTGAATTTTGTCGTCGACCATGTGACGCAAGCGCTGATAGTAGGTCGGGCCAAAGAAGACTTGAGCACGCAACTTTCTGCCCGTATGGCCCTGGTACATGATCTCAAAGCCTCTTGATTGGTAGCCTTGGTCACGAAGAAGTTGTGAAACCGAGTCGACGGTCACGTCCGTAAATGGTGTGGCGTCGCCCTCCATGCCTTTCAGGGTTGACACCTTGCTTAGCAGACACTCGATCAAATGAGCAATAGTCATACGGGAGGGGATAGCGTGGGGGTTGATGATGATGTCGGGGGTGATGCCCTCAGCGGTGAAGGGCATGTCCTCTTGGCGATATGTGACACCGATCGTACCCTTCTGACCATGGCGGGACGCAAACTTGTCACCAATCTGAGGAATCTTGGTAGTCCTGACACGGACCTTGACGTAGCGGAGACCATCCTGGTTGGTCGTAATAATGACCGAGTCCACAATGCCGTTCTCTGTACTGCGAAGAGGCGTCGATGCGTCACGCTTGACATGCTGTGTTGTTTTCTGGCCTAACTCCTGGTTGTCAGGGTTGATTGGGGACGTCTTGCCGATGATGATGTCCTCTCCAGAAACACGGACACCCGGTGCAACAATACCATCGTCGTCGAGCTTATCGTAGGTACCGTGCTTCAAACGGAGGGTGTCGCTCCTGAACGGCTTCTCAAATTGCTCGACCAAGTTGATACCAACGCGCTTTTCGCAGTCCGTGTAGGACCTGAAGAAGAGACTCCTGAACAGGCCACGGTCGATGCTGCTCTGATTCATAATCACGGAATCTTCCTGGTTGTAGCCCGAGTAGCAAGCAATGGCGACGATGGCATTTTGACCGGCAGGAAGCTCTCGGAACTTCAAGAATTCCATAGAGCGGGTCGTGGCGAGCGGCTTCTGAGGATAGTACAGGATGTTTGCCATCGTGTCCATCCTGCGAGAATAGTTTGTCAGGAAAAAGCCCATGGCTTGCTTTCCCATGGCCGATTGATAAGTATTACGAGGAGACTAGGAAATTGTTAGTGCGCCCACATGCAGCTGCTTAGACCTGTAACGTACCTGGTTGTGATCAGGGAAGGGAATGATGCTGGCACAGATACCCAGCAGCATACTGGGGTGAATTTCGCAATGCGTGTACATGTGCGTCGTTGGGTTGATCTTTGTCTTCAGTCGCCGGTTTCGGTCGTCCGCGTTATCTTCTTCAATGACTTGTCCCTGTTTCTGCAGTCGGTATATCTCCAAGTCCTCGGGCGTCATACAGATCATGGCCGTCTCTTCTTCTTCCGCGTCGAGATATTCAATGACTCCGCTATGAGCCAACGTTTCCCAGGTGATCTTGTCGTTTGGATTATCGGGCGGGTTTTCTTGTTGATCACGCATCTCGTTGACTGTTCCTTTCTGCAAAACCAGGGAGCCCTGAGGGACGATACCTGTCGGACTTTGTTCCACGACGAACACCGGTCTCATCACTCGACCAGCATCCGAAAAAATTTTGAACTCGCGGTCTCGAATGTCACGTACCAGAGAGACCTCATGGGAAATGACGTTTCGTCGACGAGTTCCCTGGACATCCGGTACGAGAATTCTAGGGTCCTGGTGAACTCCCACCCACACTCCGTTGAGGAAAACCTTGGTGGCGTTGGGGTATCTCAGTGGCTCATACTCTTCAAGCACTTCCATGCCTCGTTGAATCATGTAGTCAATGATGGGCTCGGCGGGTGTGCCGACACTGACATAGCACATGAGCGAAAGATTCTTCACGAGACCACAAGCTTGTCCTTCGGGCGTTTCGGCGGGACAAACCAGACCCCAGTGAGTATTGTGGAGTTGTCGTGGCTTTGCCAGCTTGCCATCACGGCCGATGGGGGTGTTCGTACGACGCAAATGAGAGAGGGTAGATGCGAAAGTGTAGCGATTCAACACCTGAGACACACCGGCCGTTGAGCTTGCAGCCTTCTTCTGGTCTCCCCAGTTACCCGTGGCCAAAGAATACTTCAATCCATTGGACAGAGTTTGGGGTTTGACACCGAGCGTCAGGCTGAACTGTCGGTTGGATTCAACACAACGCTTGAGGTGGCCGGAAAGCTCCTGGTTCATGCGGCGAACGATATTGCGGAACAATTTGGCAAGCAGAGGACCAGCAAGATCGAGACGCTTCTTGCCAAAATGATCGCGGTCGTCAGTGTCGCGTCGTCCAAGAGCGCATTGAAGCAATTTGTGAACCATATAGCCCAAAAAGAAAGCCTTGCGGGTTTCGCTACCCTCGCTTTGGGAGATGTGCGGCAGAGTCTCCTTTTGCAAAATGTCCTTCGCCGTCCTCACACGCTTCTCGCGCGGAATGTTATGGTTACTTCCTCGCTTACCGATGAAGTCGAGAGCAACCTCCCTGTCCTGAATGCAAAAGGCCTCCTCAATGCAGGGTCGCAGCATCTCGAGCATCTGGCTGTCATTTCGATCATAGCAAATATGATTTAGAATATCCTCATCGGACACCACTCCCAGCGCTCGAAAGACAATAGCGATTGGCAGATCGGACTTGACGTAAGGGAGACTGCAGTGAATGGTCTGACCATATCCGCCCTTCGCAGCGTCTCCCTTGCTGTAAAGCTTCAACATCATGCTCGAAATGAGGCGTGAACCCTTCTCAAGTGCACTGCGAATCTCGGCAGTGTACGAATAGGGACTTGGCTGGGCTTTCTTGAAAACTTGGACGATATTTGCCGCAGATCGCTCTTGGGCAATGAGAACCTTCTCACTGCCGTTGATGATGAAATAGCCACCTTGGTCGTACGGACATTCGTTCAGCATGAAGAGATCGTCCTCCTGCTCACTACTCAAGTGACAAATCTTTGACTTCACCATAATGGGCATACGCCCGATGAAGATCATGTCCTTCATATCGTCGGACTTGTTCTTGTCTGCACCGTAGTCCTCTCCACTCTCCTCTTCCTCCCATTCGAGCTTGGTGGGATGCTCACCAGTGTTGGCAAGCTCTTCTTGTTGTTCTTCGTCGAGCTCGTTCAGCGGTATGGGCTTCTCAACCGCAATAGATACCTTCTTCGTAATTTTG